TGATGATAAAAAGCATAATTTTTCTGAAAGGTATTCTTTTATTCCATTTTATTATTTTGAAAAACAGATTTATTGAGGTATAATTCAGATCATACAATTCACTCATTTAAAGTGTATCACCCAATGTTTTTTAGTATAGTCACGGGGATGTACAACCATCACCACAATCTAATTTCAGGACATTTTTATCCCCTCTAAAAGAAACCCCATTAGTAGTCTCTCCCCATTCCTTCCCTCCTTCGATTAGCCCCTGATTTACTTTGTTTCTATGGATGTGCATATTCTGGACCTTTAATAAAAATGGAATTATACAATATGTGGTCTTTTGTGACTGGATTCTTTCCTTTAGCATAATGTTTTCAAAGGCCATCCTCGTTTTACCATGTGTCAGTACTTCATTCTTTGTATAGTTGAATAATATTCCACTTTATCAGTATACCACATCTTTATTCCTTCATCTCTCAATGGACATTTGGATTATTTGTATTTTTTTGGTTATTATATATAATGCTGCTATGAACTTTTGTGTACAAATTTTTGTGAGGACATGTGTTTTTATATCCCTTGAGTATATACCTAGGAGTCTAATTGTCAGGTCATATGATAATGCTAGCAAATTGAGAGACTAATAAATTTTTCCAAACAGTACCATTATTTTACATTCCCACCAGCAATATATGATGGTTACAATTTTCTACACCTTCACCATAATCTGTTGTCTGTCTTTTGAATTATAGCAATCTTAGTGGGAGTGAAGTAGTGGTACCTCAACTGTGGTTTTAATTTGCATTTCCTTCATGCTGGGTAATCTTCAAATATGTAAGAAATTACAAAACTAATCTTGTCTACTTTAATCTAATAATTTCAGTTTAAACTTATTTTTCTAAGATAACGATTTAAAGGAAAAAAGGCAACTATATATACTAAGATGTTTGTATGAGCTTTATTTATAATAGGAAAAAAAAAACACCCAAACTAATTATAACCCAAATGCCCAACAGTCACTGAAAGATTAAATGAATTCAAAATATATACATCTGGTCACTTCCTACCTTTCTCCTAGCCTTATGTATGTCTTTTCCTCCACACGCCTTAGTCTACCACACCATACTACTCGGTTTTCCCTGATCAGGTCGTGCTGTTCCTACCATATAGGTGGCTTTCCCTCACTCAGCTTGACAAATCCCTCTACTTTCAGGACTGTCTGACCATCATTTCTCCTGGGATTTTCTCCTTGACTTGATATTTTTCCCCCCTGAGTCTCTTTATTTTGGGGAATTCTGGGTTTATTCTATGATTGTTTCAATATGTTGTGATTATTTGTTTACATAATTGTATTTATTTCAATTGACAAAAGACTCCAAAAAGCACATTACAGAACACAAAACTCAAATGATCTATGGACATCTTGAGAAAGTCAACCACATTAATAATTGAGTAAACACAAATTATTATCGTAACCATTCCACACCCATCAGATTGACCAAAAAAATTTAAGTTGCATATTACAGAGTGTTGATGAGGACATGGAATGATAGGGACTCCCATATATTGCTAGCCGAGTATACATGAGTATAACCAGTTTGGAAGGGGTTGGCAGTACCTGTTAAAGTTGAACATGCTCATATCCCACAGCCCAGTAATTCCACTCAGGGACAGACCTTAGAACAGTCATTCTCAAAGTTTAATGTGTGTCAGAATCACGTGAAAGGCTGGTTAAAGCACAGATTGCTGGGCCCTACCCCCGGGGTGGGCCCCACTTCTAGCAAGTTTCTAGGTGATGTGGAGGCTGCTGGTCCAGGGAATACTGTACTGCTGGTTTAAAGGGAAAGGTGGAGACCACTTGGGAGAAAATGTTTACAAGTGAGATTCACTGATTATGCGATAAAAAAAAAGGTATTTTTCTTGCTAATATTAAAATGAGCTTTATTAAAATTCAAACTATTCAGTCAAAAATCGGTGACTTTTAATGCATACAAATTATACCTCAAAGCTGCTTTGGGGTGATGAAAATGCCCTAAGATTAGATCAAATATTATGGAGATGGTTGCACAACTCTGCAGACATACTAAAAACCAGTGAATTGTGCACTTTAAACCTGCAAATTATATCTCAGTAAAGCTGCTTCTTAAAAAGTTACTTTGTTTGCAATTGCTTAGTGCACATCAGCTAGTAATGAAAAATACTGGCTCAGGGACTTCATGGATAAGAGAGGAAAGTTAATTTAAACCCTAAAATCTAAGCTAAGAATGGTTTTTACATTTTTAAAGTGTTGTAAAAAAAAGAATATGCAACAGAGACTGTATGTAGTCCACAAAGCCTAAAATAATTACTATCTTAGGTATTTTATTTGATTTACTGGTCCTTTACATTAAAAAAAGTGTGTTGATTCCTGATTTACACTAACTTATGACTAGCAAAATTAAAGGAACCAGCTTTAGGAGGGGAGGAAGAGGACGGAAGGAG